ACAGTCAAAGTGCACGACAGTGCACAACAGAGCCAGTCTCCTGACCTTAACGATATACAGGACACTTTGGTTCTCGGGATGAGAGATTATAAATGTAGCTTAGATGCTGCCTCACACACTTTGCATAATAAAACATTTATATGCTGTCATGAAGAGGGTGTAAAGTCTAAGTCACACTGCAGACTGGCTGTTCTCAGCTTCTCCATTTGGGCAGGTGTGAGAGACAAGTTGTAGATATGCCACCAGTGGAAGCATATAAATGTATCTGGTGCAAATGTTTTACAAGAGTATTTATAAATGATTCAACAAGGGAGAGCAAGAAAGAGAGTGAGAGCTAAAGTGCAATTTTAAAATAATATAAATAATTGAAACGTAGAAATAAGATACTAATTAGTTGTAACTGGTTTTGTTTTATAGGCACAGCTTAGTTTTCATGTCTACAGATCAATCTTATTATCTTCTTCCCCCTCCAGTAATTTTCTCTGATGTATAATGGAGTTTTCAATGGTCTAAATCTAAGGAACACTGCTTAGTAAGAGGACAGAAGAGGCAATGATAAGGCAGTATAGTGCAACTCACTATGTGATATTAGAAAAGAAACAAGGATGGGGTTAGATCTTCTGTGGCGATGTATAAAATCAGCCTTAAAAAAAAAAAAAGGAGAAAAAAAAAAGACAGGCTTTCCAGTTATATGTTGACCTATGCTTTCTAAAATGAGAGAGCACGTTTTCCAATACAAAGGAAACAAGTGAAGGTTCATAATTTGTTTTGTTGTTACCAAAAAAAAAAAAAAAAAAAGCAGATGCTGCTTTAAGGAAAACATTTAATTCTAGGAATTTCTGTACAACTGACCTCAGCAAGCTTTTCCATCTTAGATGGATGACTTCTGCTTGAGACCCTGAAATATTAAGATGCACACACACCTAGAGTAATTTATTGCAAAACTAATATTGTAACTTTAAAAAAACAAACAGATTCTGTACAAGAATACTGTTCAAATGGAATGTGTTAAAATAACATTTATTAATAAATACTTTATAAAATTCTATGTGAATACTAAATTAATAGATTCCTGTTTTAAAATTGCTTTGGTCCTCATGAATTTTCATAAATTCACTCTATACGCTTCTTTTTTAAAAAAGGTATTAGCTGCTAAAAAGCATATTTTGCCTAAACTAAAAGGCTAGTTTTCAACACTAAATATTGTTGCTTAAAAAAATATGAATCCTCAAAAGTTGGGCATTTAACAACAGTTATAGCTGGCTTGTTAGTTAACAGGACAGAGTCAGTTAACACACTAAATCCACACGCACTGAGGCACTGAACCATTGACTTTCCACTATTCAGAAGATGGGCAGCAGACATTTAGCTTCATAGCAGGAATTAACTCCCAACAGCGTGAAATTCTCCATAAATCATCATCATCATCATCGTCCTTATAAAACACACCATGATAGCACACAAACTACTTGTCTCCCACAGGCAGCATTATGAATATGGCTTGCATAAATTGACACGGGGAAGGGGGGTCGGGGATGAAGGAACCATATCACAGCATCGCTTGTTTCAGATCAAAGTATTGCAGTTGTCCGTGGCTGAGATTTCCAACGTGCTTCTGATGTTGCACGACGAGAGGTGCCGTGCGTGGAAATACCTCCTCCTGAGCCAGGCGCCGGCTGAGGCTCGCTGCCCTGCTAGAGCCCAGGAGAGTGGGTGAGGAAGCCATCCCAGTTGTCCACTGGCAGCGGGACGGGGCACAGAGCCCAGTGGGGGGCTGGATCGGCGAGGCAGGAGGAAAGCAGAGCAGTCTCCAGTAGTAGGTTGTAGAAAAGTAAGATTTCTCCTGAACGAAAAGAGCCTGGGAAGTGCATTTAGAGTGATGGGTTTAGGAAGAGGCCGCTGCCCCCGACCGCGCAGCAGAGGGACATCCTGGGGACAGTGGGGCAGGGCTTTCTCCCGCAGCCCTTGCTCAGGCAGCCTCCAGTGCCAGGCTGGACCAGCAGCTTGAGGAAAGGCTGCAGGATCACTCCCCTGGAAAACAAGAGCATTTTCATGTGGAAGCAAATCTGATGCATAATATAAGGTGCCTGGTACGGTTGGTCCTTTTACCAATGATATAGCTGATATAAATATGCTGCGTGTTGTCTAGGCCTGTGAACCTGCGACAGAGTTACAAGAAGCAATAGCAAATAGCTTTTCATCCTTTACTTATTTCCACATCACTAGCAAGGATTATACCTAAAGGCCAATAGTATAGAGAGGAGACATTTCATTGTAATTACACATTTAGGCCAACATGTGTGGTTGGCTTGCCTAGTTAGCATTAAAAAAAGAAATAATTGAGCTATATATAATACACATCAGTCAAACTGTCAAGTTGCTGAATTTAACAAAACTTAGGCAAGGTTTTTGTATTTTTTTCTTTTTTTTTTTTTTCTTTTTAATGTAGAGGCTTTCAGTTTAACAGCTAAATATTTTAATTGAGGAGACTGAATAAAATGAAGCTAAACCGTAATTCTAGTGCAGTGTAGCTCAACTGGGTATTCTAATATTACTAACAACTTTGATTTTTATTTTTTAATGTATTTAAGTGCTACCCATATAGAGGGAATTTTTTTTAAATTAACCCTGCCATGGCATTTCTTTTTGATGGTGAATGATAAAATTCAGACACTGGGGAAATGCTTATTTGGGTTTTTTTACATGGTGGATACTCAGCTGGAACATTTTGCTCGACTGCATATTTGAAAAAAGTTCCCTTGGGAGCCGTGATGAAGCAAAACCATTTAGCTATTACAACTGGAGGTTAAAAAAAAATTATAGATTCAGTATTTAAAACACTTTAAAAGTATATGTTTGTCTAAAATATAATAGAAAATCCTTTATGTTTGTATTTTTTCATAATTTTTTTTTGGTTCTTAGACTGTATAATCAAGTCAAGATTTACACTGTACATTAAAAATCTTCTTTTGAATGTATTTGCATAAATGGAAAGCGAGCTGTTAAAGAAAAGAATACTGATAACAAGTTAGTTACAAAGATAAGAACTAATTCAGAAATGAATGATCCTCAGAATTTTGCTTTCTCTTCCAGGCAGGCCCTGCTCCTTACAGTGCCTCACACTTCAGTTGTTTCATTCTCCCTCCTGCACAGAGAAGAGCCACCCTTTTAAAACCCACGACTCCTCTAAAACATAAAGACACAGTCTTTCGGGGGAGAACTTTGCTTCAGAACAAAGCATGTTCAGGGCTAGAGGATTTTCCGGGAATAATGTGAATTAGCTTTTGCTATTAAAGATGCAGCTCGAAATGTTTGAACATTTATCACCAGCTCGGAGCCCGCTCCTCGGGTAAGCAGCAGGAGGTTTTGCCGCTGACAGATTTGAGAGCAAAATCAAGTCCCAATATACAGCAAGGCAGCATAATTAACTGGCATCATCTCCATCTGATTTTCCCATCAATCACTGGTACCTCTCGAGGATGCAAATCAGTCGTGCTGAGGGGCAGGCCCAGAGTCCAAACAAAAACCTTAATTGTGGCACAAGGCTTTTTCCAGACCCTCTTTGCAGGACTGAATTCTGAATTTTATCCAGAGTGCAGTGGGATTTGCCATTCTTGCAGTGCTTTTTAGCGGCTGCATGCCTTCTGAAAATTATTTAGCGTCCTAATGAGACAATTCCTTACCCGCAGTAAACGGGCGTTAAGTGCCATTAAAGTCAGTGAAGGTACAGTGCTGTCTGCCAGCTCAGGAGCGGCCTGTGGACGCTTAAAAGAACGCCTGCAGAGAGCAAGTCTTTCCCTGGGAATTAAAAATGGCATTTTTCCAACCAGTCAGAACTATTATACTGATTTATTTCTCATTTATAGCCCATGAAACCTGAGGCTGTTAGCTTATGTTGCTAGAACAATGCAATTGGGTTAAGGAACAGAACTTTTCCGAATTATTATATACTACATGGATTTTTCTGTGTTAATGACTGGCAGTGCAAAAGAATTGCTGATTCTCAGGTGTTGCTTGCCATGCCTGTACTGGGCCACAGAAGCTTACAGGGCTGCTAGCATCAACACAGCTGGCTCTCAATCCTGCTTCACCTGGGGCTGCGCTGCTTTCACCTTTCGCTGTTTATTAAAAACACTAAATCAGGAGCATTTCTATTTTTTAAAAGCCAAATGCTCAGCGCAGCCCAGCTGTGGGTGAAGAGCTAGTGAAAGCAGCAGCCGTGCCAACAGTTTTTAGGTGGGCTTGAAGTTTTTGCTTGTTCATCACTGCTCTTTGAGAAAAAAAGAGGGAAGTGAGAAAGCCGTGGAATGAAAAAAAGCAGGAAAAAAAAAGCTGGGGGATGAAAAGGGAAGGGAAAAGCAAGGTGTAAGAATAACTGGAGGAGAAAAAGGCCAGGATAGGGGAGAGAGGAGACGGGGGAGGGCTAGACAAAAGAGCACGTTATTTGGGCTTGATTTTGTCCTGATAGCCACATCCTATATAACCGCTTTGAAAGAGGCTCTGAATGCAAGATGGGGTCTGCTGATAGCACAACGCTAACTCATTTTTTATTATGCTGTCAGCAGATGCCCTCTCTCTATATTTATAGCCTAATTACTTCTAGTTACCTATGTACGACTCTGTTTAATACTTTTCATGCCTCACATTGGCTAACAAGCTGCAGTTTAACACAACTCCGTTATTTCTGAGGCTTCAGGCTAGATTGGTGAGAAGGAAACATGACTATGTACAGAAACAGTTAGGTTTATAAACAAGTAACTGGTACCAAAAAAACTGGAGAAAGCACCAAAGCATTTCTCAAGCTGATAGCATATTAATTGCATAACTCCCTTTTATGTAACTAAGTATAAAAGACATTTTAATAACTATAAAAATGAAAGCCAGAGTCTTTCAAGAACTGAGGAATCTTCCAGGCTTGAGTTACGGTTGCAAATGTCCTTAGCAGAGAGGACGCTTTGATACGCTACCACACTCCCCTAGCAGTTTCTGATCAACCACTTTTAAAGGATGGGGTTGATGTCTGTTCTGTGACTGGCGAGCTGGGTGAGAGTGGAGCTTCCCACGACGTCGCTGACGGAGGAGGAGGTCGTAATAGTGTTGTGCTGGATGACTTGCTGCTGGGAGCAAGCTGGGACCGGGCTCGCAGGAGGACTGCTCTCGGGACCTGGGAAGGGGGTGAGGGCACAGAGACAACATTCATTTTTCCATCCAAGTAACAAGCCCAGGCTGGATGATGCTCCTGGAAAAGGGATGTACTACTACGGCAGCAATACCAACAACCAGAGGCATGCACAAGTCCCAGGATTTCAAAATACACAGTTATCCAACACTCTCTGTCTTCTGATCTTTTTCTGTGGGTTTTTTTGTTTGTTTGTGGGTTTTTTCATGTTTTTGGTTTGGTTTGGTTTTTTTGTTGTGTTTGGTTTTTTTTTTTTTAAGCCAGCTTCTTTGATATCAACCTGACTTCAGGATTTGGGACCTTGAAAAAAGTCCAAGACCTTAACGATTATGAAAGCAATGTTGGGATAAAAAGTCTGGTATCTTAAAGTCTATAAAATCAGTTGGGATGTTTAAATGCTTTATTCACTCCAGCAGGAATCAAAATTGGAGTGCAGTGCACTGCAGCACAGAAAATCTAATTCAAGAAACAGTTGATAGGCATGTAATGCAGTTATGTATTTTTTTCTTTGAGTACTGTTAAAGAGCCAGATGCATAGTGATGCAGAGGAGACAGAAATGGGCTCTATTTTAAGAGGATGCCACAATCTAGCAAATACTAACCCTGAAGCTCTTCTGAGCCCTTCTAGAGCCAAGCAAAGAATTTGTCCCTAAATTACCACATTGGTAAAATGCATCAACCAGACAGGATCAATTCGATGTCTCCATTAGATAAGAATTTTTTGAAAAAAACGAAAGATAAGAGTTTAAAAAAGAGTTAACAAACCTTGAAACCCTGCGTCACGCCTGGTCTGCGCCACTGTCAGAGCACAGTACCATTTTCGCTGGAGGGGACTGTAATGTTTTCCTTTTTAACTTTCCTTTTGAGAGTTATTTTAAGGTGCTGGCAGCACTGTGCCCAGGAGGACTCTTGCAGGTTTGGAGCTGTGAGTTCAAGCAGGATACTCCACAGGGGAGAGAGAGCGTCCATCCGTGTGCATCTCCTTGCAGAAGGGAGGGGTGGGGAAGGCTAGCTCTGCTGTGTGGGATGCAAACCAGGGCTTTTCTGGGTTTGAGCAGGGCTGGATAAATAAGGGCAGGAGATTGGATGCCTCGGATGATGTTTGAGAAGACAGAGTTCAAGTGATAAAATGACCGACAAGGGGTTCTGGAGGGAAGAACTGGAAACATTGCTTTCCTGTGAGGAGTGTGGAGACAGTGCAAACATACCAGCTACTTACTTAGATATCCTTGTGATTCTTTCTGCATAGCTGTTATCGGACAGTCTTTATGTGTTAACAATAACTGTTTCAGCTGTGCTACCTCATTTTTCAGCATGGAAACCTCGTTCTAGAAAAGAAAGAGAGGGTTTGGTTTGCCACAGAGCTTAAGCCAGGCTCTTTTGCAAAGTTTAAACTCAAGAACACAGAAACTGCTCCATAACTTTGGAAGAACTGACCGAAAATGGCACTTGGTGCTCATGTGCTGGGTTTATGGTAACCGTGACATTATTTCATAACTTCTTCTGAAGTCAATTTGGCTTCCAGATTTGATGACATACGCTGACAAATGAACTAACTTCACAGCACCAGCGATACTTCAGGCAATGTTTTAACCCACTCAGGAAATACTCTGGCTCTCTGCATCAGAACAGGGAGGGCAGACCCGTGGGGGAAAGCGGCAGCCTGCCGTGCTCGGTGGCATGGTGGCAGGCCTGCTGTCACCTGCAGCTCCGCTACCGCCGGTGCCTGGGTGCCGCTCACACCTCTGTGCTTTGGGGGAGTGCCGTTACGCGAATGGTCTTTCTGCTCTTGGCAGCACACAGGCACATCTCTGGATGGGACAGAAGTACAGTGCCCACCATAACGGCAGCACTGTAAGAAAGGCTTTTATTATCATATTCAGGTTTTTTTCATCTATCCGTTTCATTTTCCTTACTGGTAGACTGATCTATTCACAGTCCTATCTCGCAGGCTTTGATTGAGGCTTTAGCTACATGCCCTGCTCTGAAAAAGTGTTTTACAGCCGAGTTAATGGCACTTTCAAAAAAAATCCCCACAAAAAGCAGTGACAAGTAAAGAAAATAAATACAACTCCATCTAGCAAAGGCTTCTAAATCCCAAGACAGCTTTTTCCTGGCTTATCCTCCTAAAATGTAATTATTTCTTTAATTGAAGCGCACACATCTTGATTAATCGACTTTGATTATGCCCATGCTCCCACTAGGAGCCAGCTGTGCGGGGGCAGCCCTGAAGGTGATGAGGGCCCGTGGGCACCAGCAGCCCCTCTGAGCACAAAGAGCCCCTCTGTGTCCTTGGGGGCACAGACAGTGGCTCGCACCTGAAGCTGCATGTTTGTCTGGGTGAGCTCTTCTGCTTTCTTTTCCAGTGACATCACCCAGACCTTCCTCTTCTGTCTGCAGCGCGTGGCGGCGGCTCGGTTCCTTTCCAGAAATTTCCGCCTCCTCTCATCCGGGTCTTCATCCACCACCCTCCTCCGGCGACCTCCAGTTGGCTGCGGCGGCCTGATCGTCTGCCCTTTTTTCGCCGCCGGTGAAACCTGGCGAGGAAGAAGAGGTTTGGCAAGGGGTGGTGAGAGGGGAAAGTTACAGAGAGGGGATGCTGAAAAGGGAAGGGAAATCTCACAGGCTCGTTCTGCTCCCCGACGAGGACTGCGGCAGGAGCAAGTTGAAAGGCTGCGCCAGATGCCACTGAAATTAGCTGCTGGCAAATCCTTACCGTGGTCAAAGGGGAGATTTTTTGGAAATGATCCTCTGAATATTAGTAGGGAAAATATTTTTCCCCTTACAGTTAGTTATTAAAAACATTCACATTAGGTACTTTCTCTGCCACCACCTATTTCAAACCTAAAATGTGAAGTTCCTCTCAGCAGCTGTTTTAATCAAAGCAGAGGACTGTAGGGGCCTTATTTCTGTCTCCCTGTTTTCTTTTTTTTTTACAATTGCCTCCAAAATTTTAGGACATTTCTATTCCCATCTCCATTTCACACTTTACCACCTCTGGAGACAGTGGCTGCAACACTCTGCACCTCAGCGGAGCTGGAAAGCTGTGGGCTGAGATCATGCAAGGCCAGCAGACCTTGGTGCCCCTCAGTTGGGGGTAAAAGAAAGGGTTTAGGTACCTGCACTTGAACTTGCATTTTGGTATCCCTGCACTGCATGAAGAAGGATATTCTCCTTATCAGGCATTTCCATTTGAGCCCTGTGGATGATACACTCTTTTTTATTCAGCAGCCTGGCTTTGACAGTAGAGGCACATCACATCCAGCCCCGCTGCTATGAAACTATGGAAAAATATGTATTTATGCTTTTCCAAGTGCAGGAGAGTATTGATCCTGCTCCTGAGAGTAACTGGCCCATGCCATTACAGAAAAGGTGTGCAGTGCGGGCAGCCCAACGTCGTCTGTGCTCCGACTCCTGGGCGGATGAAACACATGCCTGTGTCCCTGTCAGGAACCAGCATCAGACTTAACGTTCAGCTGCCTGGGAACAGCCAGCTTTTGGACTGCTTTCCCGCCTCTCTCTGTGCCCAGGCCATGGGGCTCTGGATTGTGCTCGGGGCTCAGGAATTCGACCCATGGGTCCCATTGCTTGCACGCAGTGGGAGCTGCTGCTTACATTGCTGCTACCGCTCCAGCACAGTCTGGAACAGTCTGGAAACCTGAATTGTTGACTCAAAATTAACCCTCTTGTTCTGGCAAAGGCCCAAACCTCCAAGGTGCTTCCTTTTGACTCCAGGGAGTGGACGTACTCAGTGCTTTGTCAGGCTGAGCCCTGAATTTCAATTGCGGCAATTAACATGTGTTTGCCTAACACCTCTGTCTGTCTCAATTAAAATGATACTATCGTCTTGCAAGGTCGCTTTTCTGTCTAGATTCTCACCACAAACTGTGAAGAAGAGTTTGCTCCCTCCCCCAGCTGACTTGTGTCAATTAAAGTGGCAATTTTATGTGTAATTATTCTGTGCATCTGATAACGCTTTTTGCATAAAGCCAAATTTATACCCAGCTTTATATTGCACAGTCAGGGAATCTCTCTCACAGGAGCAGAAAAACGTTTTAAAAAACCAATCTTCTAAAAATAAATAAGCCACCCTGCACTTTCTGACTGATTTTTAAAATTTCAGTTTGTATTAACTCTGTATGTTTGCCGGTTAAATCTCCAAACCGCTGTCCTCACGGGGGTTTGGAGTCTCTGGGTTATGGCAGCTGCAGAGGCTGCAGCCCCCAGTGCTGCGCAGGACCACTAGCCAGCACCACGCAGAACTGCCGGTGAGCACCTCACAGGACCACTGGCTAGCACTGCAGAGGACCACCAACCAAAGCCCCCGTCCCCGCCAGCATCCCTGGGCTGCCACCAGCAGATCGCTGCCAGTGGATGCCAGCTGCTCCCCGTCCACCAGGGCCGGGCATGCCAGCGCTTTAGCAATATAACTGAGTGCAGAGGCCTCAGAGATCCCTTTTAATGTCAACATCTCATCAAAGGCTTTTCTCATATACAACACCTTTCCAGACTTCAGAGATCTGTTATTTATGTTTCCGGACCCCAGACGGTTTCCTTATCCCATATATTTCCTTTTTAATTCAGCTTTAAAAATTCTTGTTCCTTAGCTCTCTCAGTGGGGCCTGCTACACAGGCAGAAAAAGGTAAGTATAATTCTTTTTTCTCCCCCCTCGTATGGTCATTTTCTCCTGAATAGCTAGTGAGTCATTTTGTTTTCAGAATGTACCAGTCAGTCTTCGGGCAGTCAGAGCAAATTTTCAGAACAACAAAATCTTCTCTCCATCTCTGGCAGATATTAATTATAAAGGTTGCCATTACATCATTAATAATGCCATGTGGGATAATAACTGACTCTTACTAGATAGCTCTTAACCCTGAAATCTGTTAGGCTATATCTTAGTAACTGTCTAAGCATCATTCTCTAGCACGATTTCACTGCCCTGCCTAGGGACATAAGAAAGAAAATGAACATGTATTGAAATTGAGGTCAATTTTTTTTAGAGGATGCTAATCACATATCTGTAATGAAGACAAATGTAGGACACCTAAGAGAAGGAAACAACATCCAAAACCATACTTCGCTTAAGCTATCACTCTGGTAAGTTTGATATGAAGAAACCTTCATGGGACCAACATAAGAATAACAGTATCATTTTTGTAGTAGTTGAGGCAATATAGCTACAACTTGGTAAAATACCTCGCTTTCTCGGAAAGGTACCTATCAGAAAGTGATTTCTACTTTTATGCTTGATCCAATATTTCTCTCTGTTCTTTGCAACTCACCACAAAACTAATACCCATTCACTCACTCTATGAAAGCATAATTCATTGGGCTCCTGTGTATCAAAATGGTAACTGAAAAGCACAAAATGAATTCTGACATTACAGAAGGGTGTGGTGCAGAATAATGACAGTCTCAGCACGGGAGCACACTGCTTACAGCAGCGTAGACCATGCTGTCATTTGGCAGGTGGTTTGGAATGGAAGAATCTGGCTCAGAAGAGAAAGGAGGTTAACAATTAGTAAAACGCACCATAAAATTAATGTCTGCTGGAGCAATCTGACCCCCAAAGAGGACGTTACCATGGAGATTATGGATGAGCTTAGAAAGTAATAACCATGTGGTCATTACTCAGCAAACCCATCTTTTCTCCCCAGTAATGCATCTGTTCAGAAACCACTATTGCCTTGGCACCATGGGAACAGATGTGCAGCAAGAGCTCTGCTGCCCAGGGAAGCCGCTGACCCTAGGATTCCTACTCCATCACCCTCCGTTCCCATCCTCTTGGTGACACTTACATCTACGGACAAGGTGAAACCTCCTTGATCCCTGATGGGACCTGTTGCCTCCATAACAGGCTGTGCATGGCAAAGATCATCTGACCACACAGGCACAGCTCCAGAGACTGTGCGGTGTGGAGACACAGGGTGAATCTGATGTACATTTGTGGCTGCCAGTCAGCTCACCTACCCTGGTGCCTGTATCTCCTCTTGCCCACCTGTGAGTCTTTTGGGGTGCCTAGCTAACAGTGAATACCAAGAACAAGAAGCCTAGGCTGTCCTAACTGGAATGAGTGTAAGAAAGACATGGACCCTCTCAAATGGGTCCAGAGGAGGGCCACTGTCTCATTGATCTTATCCTTAAAAGTGGGAGGTTTGTTTTCCCTGGTAGCTCCTCACCTATTAAAACTGGTAATATGGATGTTTTGCCACAGTGCTCCATACCATGGTATCTGACTCCCTCACCTGCATTAGCATGTTTATCCTCTCAACCCCTTGGTGAGGTGTCGGTACTATTACCCTTGTTTTAAAAGCTTCAGAGTGGTTAAGTGACTTCCTCCATCTCATCCATGGAGTCCTCAGTCTGCTAAGCACAACTTTATCCATACTCTCTCATGGATCTCCGAGACAGCCATCATGTTAATTTTGGTTTCTCTGTTATGAGATAATGTCTTTTTATTGGAGTTTTTAAACAACTCCAAGGAAAATAACTCATTAACAGATGGGAAAATAATTGAATTCGCAAAGTAAAAACTGAACTAAACTTAGGAAAGCTCTGGACATCTTCTCACAGGGGAGTCTGCTGCTCTTATTTAGACTGTTTCTCTAAAGCTGACAATTCATTTTACATTAGCAAATGCTTTAGGGAAATCCCATGTGCTTGCAGCCTCTGCAATAATAAAGCTAGATGTTAGTAAATAGTTAATGTTGTGGGACACTGGGATGTCAGCCAAATCCTCTCGTTTTCTTTAATGTTTTCTAAGAGCTTGTCTGAAAGGTATTTGCAAGCAACACAATACTTCACAGATTGAACTTCTTATGGCTGGCACTTCTCTTTGTTCTCATTCTATGCACTGCCTGCCTGTCCTCCCTAAATTTGCTCCCCAGATCTGACATGTTACAGTAACTGCTCCCAGAGCTTTATTTTTCTGGTGTGATCCTGATGCAGAAGCCTATCATCTTAAGACATTAACAGAATTCCTCTTAAAAATGACTCTGCTGAAATCCATGCTCACTAGTTCATTAGTTCAAGAAACATTCAGTTCAGATATTGAATTATCCAAATTGCTGAAGCAAATACACCTGGTCCAAAAATTAAGATCTTCACCTCATTCAATGGAGACCTTCACTGAGTTCTCATCATCCAAATCCAATTCATAATTGCCATCCTGGTTTAAATCTCTCTCCTTAGACTGGTTTCACCATCTTTTTCTCCTGTCACAACACCTACCAACTATCGCCCACACTCTCAGCTAATCTTTGCTTTCTCTCATAGTCTGCAGATGGGGGCTGCTATCCCCTTCACAGGGTCTGGATCCTTTCTTCTTCGCCTCTAAGCCAGTGTATCTTACCTTAGAACTACCTCTACTATCTCCAGTCTTGAACACACACCCCCCCCACACACACCCACCAGTGCCATTTTACTTCACTAAAGATTGTGCTATGTATTTCAGCAGGCAGAACACATACAGCTCTTTAAATCTTGGCCTGAGAAGTCCTGGTTCAAGCACGTTAAGCAACATATATAATATGCTAATCTCCATAATAAACTTCATCCATAAAAGGATATGTGGCAATTTCAGACATCAGAGGACTGAAAAACCTTGGAGCTCCTTATAAAGTAAGATCTTACAAACGTCTAGCAAATTAAGCAGCAAAACAAGTTGTTGCCTCACTCTGTTTTCTGAATAAAGTTTGCGCTTCCCCACCACCCATAGCAGACATTTATGAGTAGCCCGAGGGGCTTGTATCTAACAAGACCTGTGTCCAGGAAGGAACAACGCAGGGATCAGGCTTTAACTCCATATAACAGCAAAACTCAGTGATGCAGCATGGCACGAAGGTCTACCTGTGCTTGTCCACCTGAGTGCAGCGGGGGGTGCGGTGAGGTCTGGTGATGTGCCGGGTGTGCGTGAAGGTGCGAGTGAGAGTGGTGGTGGGGATGATTCTGCTGGTGATGAGGCTGAGGATGCGGATGGTGTGCCGGATGCTGGTGCTGATGCGGGTATGAGTGGTGAGGTGGCAGTGTCTGGTGCTGATGAGGGTGTGAGTGCATATGATGGTGTGGTGTCTGGTCCTGCCGCGAGCTCATCATTTCCATCATGTGGCCCATGGTGTTCATATTCCCGTTCGACATGGCGGCAGGATGATGAGTCAGCGCTGCCTTCAGTCTCTGGAACAGAACAAGGCAGAAAATTCAACAGTCACACATGACGATCTGAGCAATCAGAATAAGATTTCTGCTGTTGCAGAAATGGTGCCTTGTCCTGGGTTTTGAGACTTAGATTTTTTCCTTGCTGTTCCCTTGATAAAAGGCATCTTATTTCAGTTTGAGCAAGAGCATATTCTTGGGCTCTAATTAGTTTTCCACTGTAAATATGTAAAGATATAAACATCTGAACTGAAATTTAACAGTTACACATTTCCTATTGTGCTGCTGAGGAAAAATAACTGGCCCTCATCCTTTTCTTTTTGGCCAGCTCAGTAGCATTAGCTTGTATTCTTGCAAGTTTCATAAAGGAAAGTCTGATTAAAACAAAGGTGAAACAAAATTCCCCTTTTGTCTTTACTTACACATATTATTTAAAAGACTCATTGATAAATATATTACATTGTTGTGTTTTTCAAATTCAGGCTCAAATATATTCCACAGTTGTACTAGCACCCAACCTGTTCTTTCATCAGAAAGAGAGGAAAATAATGAGGGTGGCCTTAACCCAATCCTCTTTCTTTGCTCAAAAGTTCAAACATCTGCTGTGTTGTTATTGCATGCTAATCCCTCTCTCTGTTTTGTACTCCTTGTGTTTTGTACTGTCACTTGATTGGGCTCTGGAGTCCTGAGCAGGGCAAAACTGTCCGTAATATCAGTGGTATTTATTCACTTTTACCTGAACACTACCAAAGAGCAATGGGAAGGGCTGCCACATTTTGGACTGCAGGACAGGGCCCTTGTGTGCTAAGGCTATAGCTGAAATACAGAGAAAAAAAGGTTCCCTCTCAACACGATTACAGAGTCATCACAAAGCTGTGAGCTGTACTGGCATACAGACACCCTACTGGTATCATCCTGCCCTTGGACTACTGAAATCACTGAAATCTACTGAAATGAACAATAATAATCATAATGAAAATGAATATAACAAAAAGAGAGAGAAATAAAACCCAAGAAAAGACAAGTGATGTACAATACCATTGCTCACCACCTGCTGATCGATGCCCGAGCAGCAATTCCCCCCACAGCCAACTCCCTCCAGTTTATATACTCAGCATGACGTTCTATGGCACAGAATAACTCTTTGGCTAGTTTGGGTCAGCTGTCCTGGCTATTCTCCCTCCGAGCTTCTTGTGCACCTGCTTGCTGGCAGAGCATGGGAAACTGAAAAATCCTTAACTTAGGATAAGTGCTACTTAGCAACAACTAAAACATCAGTGTGTTATCAACATTATTCTCACACTAAATCCAAAACACAGCACTGTACCAGCTACTAGGAAGAAAATTAACTCTATCCCAGCCAAAACCAGGACAATAACTCATCAACTAGCTCATAATTTATTATCCAGACAGAGGATATAATGAGTAGCAGATAGCTCATCAGTAAGAGGTGCCACCTCTAGGAAAGCCAGCAAGAAACAGCAGTGGTACAAGGGACAGAGGCGTGCCTTTCCCCATAGCAATATCTGTGGGTCACAGATGATGGTCAGAAGATCCTACAAGCCAACGTAGCCAAAATCTGCCAATGCAGGAGCAATGACCAGATTGAACTGCATTTTGGTTTTGTCTTTAAAGCAAAGAGAGTGTCAGGACACTTCAGAACCTACAGGAATTTCAGTCTACTTTGTATTGAAATAACACCTGTCTGTGCAACTCCACTGCAAGGCCACAGGTAAAGGCTCCTATGTTCAAAGCTGCACCCGGGAGTGAGGAAGAATCAAATTCTTAAGGAGAAAAAAAGAGAAAAATATTAGAGAAAAAAAAAAAAAAGGTTGTGGAAGGCAAAAAGAAGTAACAGGGTCAATTCAAAGTGTCATTCTCAAATTTTCATATCCCACATGTTTTTGCAGACTTCATGAAGTTCATTCCACTGTAATAGATCCATTAATCCAAATTTGGTGGATTATTTCGCTAACGACCAACTGGCTGAACAAGACTTTAAAGAAAAAAAAGATACATTTAAAAAACACATTAGTGCCTCAGTTTGTGTGAAGGAAAACTAGATGCATGAATTCTGAGAAGTTTCCTTAAGAAAGCCCATCAAACCATGACTGCACTACGATATCTGTCACAACCTGACGATCTTCTCAAAAAGAGATGAAGGCAACTATGGTGAGGTGAAATACCTCCTTCCCTACGTCTAAAGTCAGAATGAGGCTCAGTCTAATATCAAGAGCAGTAACCCATCCTGGGTATAAAATAGACGATTTGAGCAGCTGTTGTCCTTAATGTTTCCAAATTCAAGGGCTACCCTGGTTACCACAAGCAGCTCTTCACAATGCTCAGAATAACTGGTGTTACCCAGGAGTGTATTAGGAAAAATATGGGGAAAAAAACACTTAAATAAGTCAAGTCGTTCTGCACATCATTCTTCTTCAAAACTCGCTAAGACCTTTTTCATGGGGCTGAGCCACCATGCAGATCTAAGCCAAAGCACCAACAAAAGCTGTCGTAACTCTGTTTTCTGAATCAAAATGCGAGTTCTCTTTAGCCAGCAGTTTTATGTGATGAATACCTAACAGAATCTACCAACGCTATATTTGTCAAACTCTGAAACTGAACTACAGCATGTCTTACTCTAAACTGCAGACTTTCAAAGCAAAAAAAAAAAAAAAAAAAGAGGGAAAAACTTAATCTCCGAATAAACATTTTTTTTCAGCTGTAAAAACTGTGGCTTATTAGTGTGGCATGACTTCAAGGAGAATAAATTATTTTGTTTTCTTTTCATAGCCCCTTCTACCACATCCATTTATTTGAGATAGCAAATCAAGAGAGACAGTGAGAGGTCTGACATGCAGCTGGTTTCAGTCAATAGGGGTCATTTCCATTTGGTCTGTGTATTTTACAAGCTCCTTGTTCACTGTTCCCAATGGGAGGGTGGGCCAGCTGCCCTGGATCCCAGTCCTGGTACGAAACCAGCTCTCTACCTCATCCTCTCCCAGTGCAGCAACAGCCCGGCCCTCGCCTCCCTTTAGCTTTGTGCTTAGATCAGCTCCACAGCAGCGAGAGCCCTGCCTGCACACGCACCCGGAGCAGTGTTTAGCTTCCATTAACCAGTCGCTGCTGCCCATCAGAAAAATCTGGGGAACGATGAACATTTTTTTGTTTTGTTTCATCTTCAGTGAGATCAATTGTTTTGGATGTTTTAGTTAGAGCACAGGGAGGGAAAATCACCAGAACTTGGTGAACTCTTTGCATTGAGTATGTGTAGAGCTGGAAGGGCAGGCTGCATTTTTGTTATTGTTCTTTTTATGTGTGCTAATTGCAAACAGCTGTTTTAGTTTAGTGTCAGATAAAATGTGATGGCATCAAAATTGAGCTTGCTGGATTGACTACGTTAGCACATCCCCTCTAGAACTAAACGATAACCCAAGACGCAGTCCTGTGGCCATTCAGTTTTTCAGGAACTTTGTGACTGACTTCACCAGAGCCTGCAGGTACCTGGCAGTTTGCAAACTGGGGCTGAAACAGAAGACTTGCTACTCACATTTGCTCTCACCAAACCCCGAAATTTCTGCAAACCTCAGTGGCAGTGCTTTTTAGGGCACAATCCCTCTTCTCTCTCTTTTATAGTGCAATTTTCAAAAAAATCCACATAACCTCAATTCAAGAGGAAATGCAGATGCTCATCTTACCTGGCTTTTGGCCATTACTGATTATTTTTATTATTTCATCAAAGTAACATAGTGACCAACATCCGTTACATCTGATTTCCACTCAATCCCAACATTTCCATCAATGGCTGTCAGTGACACAGACAACATGAGAAATCTTACACAGAGAACAGCCTGTTTTGCCTCTGATCAAGTGAATAAAGAAAATTCAATTTTGATCCTACAGGAAGCCAGAAGCACATAAACACTCATCTTTGATGCTTAGGAGGAAATAGCAACAGTGGATATTAGAGGTCCACAGGTATGTGTTGTGTTCCCTATACTATCACTCATGATAATGCCCCTAACTGACACATTTACTCTGAAGCCACCACATTGAATGTCATGCGAAGTTAACACCTCAAAGAAGTTATCATTGTACCTGGAATATCGAGGGGTTTTTGGAGAGTTTTCACAGTGCTTCCTCCATCTAAAGCCTGACATCATGGTGCAGTGAATTGCTTGATGTTTCTTTTTATTAACATAATCATAATTTAATTGCTGAACATCTTTGGGCAAACCCTAAGTGTGACAAAAATGGGCTACAAGCATTTGAGATCATGAATGAAAAATAATATCAGTTTCCTTATCACTTCTTCAGTTCAGGATCTTGCTGCTTTCTAATTTTTCTCTATCATGACATGTATTTCAAGGTTGCCTTGGGTTTTGTCCCACCTTTCTTGAAAATTGCTAGTGAAAAACAGATAGCTTTTTTTTTCAGTTTGTTAGAAGAAGAAGAAAAAAGATAAATAAAACTGTAAATTTGGAGATTGCTTTTACAACAACTAAAAACGCAAATAATTTTTGGGTTTTCATATGTATAGATATATTTATACTATTTATAGCATGTAATATTTATAGTACAACAGGCTATAAATATTGTACTATATGCCATAATCTGTATATGACAATAAACTACAACTTTCTTCCCTTTATTCCTCAGTGGAGAAATGACAAAAAATCTCCTCCAATTTTACAGATGTTATTACCCAAGTGATCTGTGCTTGCATCAAACAATAGGCTATTATATCGTCCAGCTGAATTTTAGGTTGGGACAGACATGGAGTGCTGGTTTTGAATAGGATTGAATTGTTCTGAGTAAGTATG